AAAAAAAATTTTTTTGTTATTTTCATTTTGGTAGAGATGTTGTAAAAGATATGCATGGGACAATGCATTATGATGGGGGAGTTGTAACGAAAGAATGATCAAAGAAGAATTGTCTCTTGAAGGACTTGTTAGATTAATTTTATCATGCTTGAATTGTGATTTGAATGGAATAAAATTAAAGTACATAGTAAAGTTTGATCGTAATGCTCTTTTTAGACCTTAAAGATGATGAAGGGACAAATCAATTAATGAAATTGAATGATAATTTTGCTCATGTTGTACATCATTGGGAAGATACAATAAAGTACATAGGCAACAAGAGATTCAATTGATGAGTAAGTTTTTTTAATAGTTACATGATTAATATTATGGTAATATGAATATGAATGGTAGTAATAAATATGATTTAAATGGAATGTAGAGCAGGATGTTCAGCTAGGAATTCACATGCTACACAAGATCTTGAAGTTCTACTATATGCAATACAAAGTATCCCAACACCAATGCCTGAGCTAAATGCAACAAAGTGGAAGGATTTGCTAGTAGGACCTGAGCATATTTTTGCGAGTGCTGATAATTGTAGACAAGCAATCTACAAGTATAGTATTGCACACAGGTTTGAATATAAATTTATGAAGAATAATACAAATAAAATAATTATAGTTTGCAAGGTAAAAGGATGTCAATGGAAGATAACAGTATATTCATTAAGGAAGTTAATACCCTTACTTCACGTAACAACTTTCAAGAATGAGCACTTACATTCTACCTAAGAAGACCTTGAAGTTTCTTACAGTACAAGGTGCACACTAACTTTGTCTATAATTGATGATGTAATAAGGTCTAATGTGGAAAAGAGGCCTAATGAAATCAAAGCTGACATATATATAAACTATGGCACAGGTCTAACTTATCGTCAAGCTTTAAGAATGAAAGAGAGGGCATTGGTGGAAATATATGGGCTTCCTAACCAATCATATATGCTTGTTCCTTAGTTGTGTAATAGACTAATGGAGACTGATACTGATACTGTAGCAAAATGGGTGGCTTTTGAGAATAATATATTTGAACAATTATTTATTGCATATGGTTGTTTCATTAAAGGATTCTTGCTTGGGGCTAGGCCTATTTTATATGTGGATGGATGTTTCCTCAATGGTCCTTATTAGGGCATCTTACTAGCAGCTTCAACATACGATGCTGATAATGAGTTGTTTTCATTAGCTTTGCAATAGTTGGTAGTGAAGCTTACGACGATTGGACCTAGTTTCTGCAAAATATTAAAGATATCATTGGTTTACTATAGGTAACTATGTTTGTGATAGAAATAATGCTATAATTGGTACTGTTAGAGCTATATTTGGTGGCGATAGATATGCATTTTGCTATCGACATGTCAAGGAGAATTTTAGCTTTGAGTTTAACAAAGTTTATAGGGGAATGGGAAGGAACAACAAGCATGAGGCATGCTTAATCACATTACCTATGCAAGGCATGACCATGAATTTAGTCTAGCCATGGAAAATTTGAGGATGTTCTTTTCATAATTAGCAAGATGGGTTAAAAATTAAAGCGATGTTGTTAGGTGGGCACTATCACTATTCCTATTTTAAAGATGGGATAAGATAACAACTAACTTGATCGAATCATTCAATGCTTAGATTCTTGAGGAGAGGAGGCATAATATATGTGTTCTTATACATGAGCGTAAGGACAAGTTAAGTAAGAAATTTTTTTGCAAGTAAGGTAGCCATAAGTAAGTGAAAAAGCATAGTTGGTCCAAATGTTAAAGCAAAGTTGAAGGAAAATATTTTTAAGGTAGAAGTTATGATATTCAGCTGCATGGCTCACATATTCCATTAGTTCGGATACCATATGAAGATTTATGTGTGAATTTGATACTAGGGAATACATACGTAAAGTTTGGCAAATGTCTGGCATTCCTTGCCCCTATGCTTGTGTAGCCATTAAAGAAGTACATGGTAATGTGTATAACTACGTCGAGGAATGTTATCTTTATAGCTCATAAGAGAAAATATACAATAGCACTATACATCCTGTTGAGACCACGATGCCAAAGCTAAATGCATTTACAGTGTCTGGGCTCATGAACCAAATCTTTTTGCTGCTCCTAGAACATTTCAACAAGCTGGCAAACCTTATCATGTAAGGATTGAGTCTCAACATCAACAAAAGAAGGTTTATAATTATTCTTACTACTATGAAGCAAGTCATATGCGGAAGAGGTGTAGAAATCCAAATCCAAGTTGATGTTACTGTAAATGGGTTATCACATGAACTTGGATTTAGGTGACACACATATAGGTAGTTTTAGGGGGTTTTTTGGCATATAGCAGCCCTTTTTTTGTAAATCCAAGTTGATATTTCTATAACATAAGATAGATCAACTTGGACTTGGTTGACATATATAGGTTTATGTAGATATATATTGGTAGTATTAGGGAATTTTTTTTGGTACATAGCATCCCCTCATTTGTAAATCTAAGTTCATGCTTTTGTGTATGTGGACAGGTAATATGTGCAGATGCATTAGATGAATAATACATGTTTCTTACATGTACAGTTCATATCTTCTGTGATTGCTAAAAGTGTGTCGTCTTAAAATTATTCGTAAGGCAGTTGCAAAATTTGGTATGTCAGTTGTAAATTACTGAAGACATGTTCAAAATTAATTTAGTAAGTTTGCAAGTTCAAGAAATAAATAGTTCTTTGATCCAAAATTTTGAGTACGAGTTGCAAATTTTTCCTAAGAAAGTTGCAAATTTTGGTGTCTCAATTCCAAATTACTAGAACGTTATCCTAAAAGAATAACTCTTATTTGATAGTTCTTCAATCTAAAATTTCTAGTAAGAGTTGCAAATTGTTCCTAAGAAATTGTAAATTTTGGTGTCTTAGTTGCAAATCACTAAAACATTGTCCTAAAAAAATAAATCTTGTAGGAATTTAATAGTTCTTTCATCCAAATTTTGAGTGTCAGTTGCAAAATTTTTCTAAAAAAGTGTTGCAAATTTTGGTGACTCAATTGCAAATTACTAGAGCTCTGTTCTAGAATAATAACTTAAGAATTTAATAGTTACCCCGCCTAAAATTTTGACAAACGGTTGCGACATTGGCTATATATAATTAATTTGGTTGCTTGTTCAACTTGCTTGATAATCACAAAGAATGTTTTATATCGCTTCAATTATCCTAAAATAATAATAAAATTAGAAAATTTCATGATTAATTTGTTACATTGAATTGATCACCATTTGATTAAAGTAATATAAGTAATGGCTCAGCTATATCAATTGGCAGAAATACACATTATTTTAATTTGTTGAAAACAATAAGTATTAATTAGTATCTACTTTATAAAATCCGAATAGAGGTGTTGGCAATCTTGTTCACACAAAATCATAATTTAGTTAGCTAAAATGCATGCATGTGATAAAGTTCTGATCAAATAATATGTTTTGAATACAAAATTAGTCAAGCATATCCCACAAAGGCTAGCTTAATTTTATAGCCAAAAATCCTATTCTTATAAGCCCTATAATTTAGTTACAACCTCAAATTCAATTGAGCATATCCTCACTTGCACAAACTATATACTTCACCTTTAACTAAGACACTCAAGGAAAAAAAAAATTGAAGAAGAGGCAATTTCTACAAAATCAAAATGGTAAACATTGATGAAGAGCAAGCTCTTCAGCGAGGCAAATACATCACACCCATCAAAGATTAATGATCAAAACAGGTCACAGGTTAAAAATTCATTTAGACTTCTTTCCTGCCCTCTTTGGTCGGTTAGCTATTGAGATAGAGGCAAAAACTTCATTTCTCACTTCATTTCTCATGTGATTTACCAACCACCATATCATATCCACCCTAAAATGTTTCAATTGTTCCTAAAAAAAAGCATAAACAAGTTTTAAGTTTAACATTGATAATTGGAAGAAAAAAATTAGAAAGATTGTGGATCACATATACATACATTTGAAAAGTCCTCCATGGTCAGTCCTCCTTTTCTTCTTCTACTATCCCATTCTGCACAGTACTTTATTACATATACCCCACAATCATTTTTACAAATATGAGCAATTAAGATAAGGCAAAATGTCTACTTGAAATGAATACATAAAAAGGTAGTTCTTTCCGTAGTTAGTTATTTACACATTACTTTGTTTGAGAAGTTCTTCAAATATCATCTCTGTCTGAAAATCCTCTACATATTTCTCTGGGTCACATGCTTGTAACAATTTAATTATGCGAGTTCTCTATAAATAGTTCCTAATCTTAGATAACTATTCCCATCTAAAAATTTAAGTAACCTCAAGTAGTTATGCAAAAGCATTAACAAAGCATACCATAAATCCAACTATCATCTTCTTCTCTCTAAATAACTTCCCAGCCAATGAATCAAGGATGAAAAATTTTTCATTCTTTAGATCAGCACAATAACAAAACCAGTGATTGAACACAAGTATGGCCAAGAAGAGATAATAACAATTTTCAAGGTTATATCTAAGTTTATCAGGCATGAGCATCCTTGCATCGTCAAAAATAGACCATCTTAACTTTTTATCCCTTAGGTTGGCCATAAATTCTGAATCAAATATGTACATCCATACCTCCCCTTCATGAAGTTACTCACCAACCATCACTTTTGCGACCATGCTTATGACCTACAAAAACCACATCCAATACTCAATGTACTATCCAATTAAACAATTAATTAATTAAAACTTTCAGACATACCGTTGTACTTATCCATTTTTTAGGACTAAGACTTCAGCATTCGACCCTAGTTAGGTAGTAATCGTACATCTCAATAACATAACTACCAAAAAAAGTGTTATTATATCAAATATAATGCACCATAATTATCAAAAAGTAATATCACATTACTTACTCTTCACCCTCTGCTTCATTGGTCCGCCTGGTGCAATATTTATATATTTATTATTCTTTGATAAGTCTCCCTTGTATTAGTTCCTTCAGAAAAGGTGACCAATTTACCTCAACCTTTTTCCTTTCAGACCTTCAAATCATTATGCTTTCATCTGTTCTCCTCCTCTTCTTGCCATCTTGTCTTTCATCACTTTCTTGAATAGGCAAAAGTTCTATAGTTTCTTCCTTACTATCGAAGCCTTCATCCTCATTTTCTTTAGATCCAGCTCTAGCTGCAGCTTCATAACCACCATCGTCTTCATCTTCATCCCTATCTCCATTATTATGTGCATCTTTAGCTTTATCTTTGCCTTTGTCTCCATCTTCATCATCATCGTCATCAGCTTCATCTTCATCTCCACATTCCTCTTCCTCCACTTCTTCTTCGCTTGGTTCGTCAACCCTCACAATAGCTTTACTATCAGATATTTGAAGCTGGTTAAGACTTTGTTGTAACTTTAGCACTTTACTTGCAAAGGTATTAGCATATTGCAAAAGTCTTCATATATCTCCCTTACACCCTAATCAAGTTTCAACACCAAGCTTATTAAGCAAATAAAAAATCAGGATATACACAATAAATTATGGACATATATATACCGGGTGAGTTATCGCTGCAAGTGAAAGTAAAACTTCAGACACTTCATTAGACTTACCACCATAAAGAATATTGTGGATACTTTCTTTTTCCAACTTAACCCATTTTTACACCATGTATTGGTTCCACAAATACATCACAGGCATTCCGCCATCTACTAATGGTGTTAGGCCCAATGGAAATGTGCATGTAAAATATCTGCACTAAACAGATAATTATAATCTAACCAATAACAAATAAATTGGAACAAAATATAGAAGGATTATAAATAGTCTATACCAATAAGAAAAATAAGCATCCTCCTACATTCTTCTTCCTTCGTCCACTCCTTGATGCTATCTCATAAGTTGAAATCTTTCTAATAAGCTCTAACAACACAAAAGATGACCAGTCATATTCTTGAACATTTTTCTTCCCACTCAAACTTTTAATACTCCTCATACTAACAGTTGTACTTGTTGTGGGATAAAGAAATGTTCTAAGAGTAAATAATAAAAACACCGTTTTCATCCTTGCCAGATATTATCATACTCTTCAACTCAGTGAAGAGTTTGCCAAGATAATTCTTCTTTAATGCTTTAGATGCTTCGCTGTCATCGTCTAAAGAGACAGGTTTCCCACCATAAGGCACACCCCTCTAATTCCAAGTGTTGAGGTCGGTGTGTCAAAAGTAGTAATTATTCGTTCACATAAATCCCTAATAGTTTATTAAATTTAAAATCCAAGAGAGATTGAAACCATATTTTCTTGACCTTAGTACATAACCTTTTATATTTGGATATGTATTCTACAACTTCCTTGAATTGGCTAGGAGAGCAACCCGTATTAAATGGAACCTATAAACCAAGAGGAATAATATAACACCATACAATGCATAATAATCATATTCAAAAAAGACTCATTAATTTCAAATAAATACAAGTGAGTGATTCCGTTATAGTGGAACAAGATGTTGATTCCTGGCCTCATCCATCTAATGAAGCCATGTTTTTATATCTTTCTTGTTTAGCATTTGATAATTTTCACCAACTTTCTCTCATTAAATTATTGGCTTTTATAAGATCACTGAATTTTCCTTCATTTTTTTTAGAAACTCTTCCTTGAAGTTGTCATATCTAGACTTCTTTTTTGTTGTAGTTTTCTTATTGTCCATAATTTTTTTGTCTCAGTTGCAAGTTACTTTTTTCTGGTCTGCAACAAGCAAATGAAATAGATTCAGCTAAATGTTACACCCCAAAACACGCCACAGACATAAACACTATTATGGAATAGTGAACATGCAGGGTGGCAGCTTTTATTGGATTAATTAAAACTTTGGCAAATATGAGAAAGGAGAAAAGGGATAGCATAAATTGCAAGTAGTTTATCACACCTGATGCTGCAACCAAAGTTAGATGCATGCTCAATTTTAGCAAGCTAATAGTGGTCATTTTTGAAAACATCAAGCCACTGTGGTTACAGATAAGCTAAACCTAAAAAACATGTATACGCAGTGATTATAGTCCCAAGCCACATCATTACAAATATCATCATAATACAAATGCTAGGAATCCTCTGAAAAACACACACATAGACATAATATAAACACACAGAGCTAACTTTTGAAAATTAAATTCATAAATACCATATTTTCACTTTAGCTTAAAACATAGCCCTATCTCTTATCCCAAGGTTATTTAAATGTCATTAGAACTAGAGTTAGAAAGCACTCCCCCTGCTTCAAGTCTATGTTCTAATTAAAAAAAATGTCTAAACAGAAGAGAGACATTTAGGTAGCTTTTGGCATGTAGGCATCCTAATTATTAAGGACTCTAAAACCTCTATATATATATATATAATATGAATGAATAGATCATGAGATATACAAAATTACAAAATAGTATATTGTTGGGATATATACAACACTTAAGTTTTAAATTTTTCAAAATTGCTACATCCAAACATCTTATTAATAGGTTTCAAGTGCTTGGCAAAACTAAAGAATGAATATAAAGATTCTTCATATTTCAATGTATTTCATCATAATTTGGGTACTATAATCATAAATGGGTAGGGTACTGATGCACACATTATCTCTTGGTGCAACAAACTTAAAACCTCACATAAGAGGAAGCAAAACAAACATAGAAGACTGCATAAAAGATATGAACAAGAACCGGGTCTGACAAAATGCTACTCGAATTGGAAACACCGTATTGATATGCCATATTCTATTACAAAAATTAACACCTAAATAGAAGTATTTTACAAAATCTCCTATGAATATTCCCACAATTTAAATTGGTTTATCATAAAACAAATGAGTTTACTCAAATGTTTAACCAAATTGACAGTTTAACTTAAACAAAATCAAAATGATCACTCCAATTAGTCTAAGTCAGTAAATATTCATTGTTCTTGCATTTTAAGCAGCATTTTATTTCTGCATTATCAGCCTTTGACCATTCCGATGTTTGCACTCATGATTATTACAATTCTTAAAGTGTAAGCCTACACTAAACAACTATTCACATAAAAACATTGCAAAGCTGATGAATTGACCAGTCTACACCTTGATATAGACCTTTAAAGTTAATAAAACACAAAACAACAGGATCAAATGCTAATTAGCATTGGATAAAGTCACTCACATTAACTAAAATGAGTTCATAACACAAACTAGTTTCAAAATAGCACAAAATTACTAGATCATCTTTCATTAGCAAATTCCCCAAAATCCAAATATGACATAGAATTAAAGTCCACTAGTCAAATCAAATATCCCAAAGCTCAATTCCAATATAGAAAAGACAGAAACTAAGAAAATTTTCCTGTTGAAAGATTCATACACATACTTCTTCCAACTTGGAGATCTCATTTCGAAGCCAAAATATGCAAGCAGCTTAAGAACAGTCAGACACAACATAAACAGTAATAGATATGAAGGTTATGTGAAATCAATAGAAAACCATATCTTATGCAAGAAGACAAAAGCATATGAACAAGATATAAACCTTCAAGAAAGGATAGAGAGAAGACAAGAGAAGAGAGAGGAGCAGTGTATAAAGATGAGAAGATGAGAATAGATACAGGTGAGAAGCAATGTACGTCGCTAGTGGCTGTTAGGGCAAAGAAGGGACAGAGAGCTTTCCTCCGACAAATCAATTGAAAGAGCTCACATTAAGGCAGAGAAGCTTTTCTCTGGTCAGTCAATCGAAAAAGCTCACGCTAAGGCAGAGAAGCTTTCCTTTGGTCAATCAATCAAAATAGCTCCTCGCTAGGGCAGAGAAGATCAGAAGAGAGCTCGTCGCTAGGGCAGCGAAGATAGCTCATCTCACACACGAGAACTCATTAGCAAGGTAGAGAAGAAAATGAGCATTTTAGAGTTACTTCAAGAAGGGTAAGCTAGAGAAGAGAGCTCGTCGCACACAGGGAACTTGTTCGGAAGGCAGAAAAGAAAACGAGTATTTTAGAATTACTTGAAGAAGGGTGTTTCAGTCTTTTTCTGTGACACCGAAATAGCACTTAAAGACTCTAGAACTTTATTGGTCTTTTACAATTACTTGAGACTTAATTGATATAAAATTGATCCTTTGAGACTTGATTTTTATTTTTCCTAAAAAGAAAAATGATGTATCTATTCTCCTTCGTTGTAAGGATTATTAATAGATTGCATTAGCCTTTGACTAGTTTAGCGTGCAGTTAGTGCAAAGCTTGCAAAACAAACATTTGACGAAGTCAAACTAAATTGAAATTTGCTGAAAGCTATTACCTCTGATCTTATATATTCTTTTTGGTCCCGGATGCTTTTTTTTAAAAAAAATAAATTAATACTTAATATAAAACACTTAGTTGGGTTTTAATTATATTTTTTTAATAGTATCCCTATTCAAACTCTCACTAATTATGAAAGAAAATATAATACAAATTTAAAATTTCTTAGTTAAATATAGTTAAAATTAAAAGTTTATTATATTTTTAAATAAAATTAATAATTTAACTATCTTTCATCAATTCCAAATTAAAGAAGTCTTATACTAAAGATTTGATGTAATATAAGTTACGTTTAATTAACTCATAAAAATCAATAGAAGATAATTAAATTGTTGATACTTGATACTGTCTGAAAACGAAATTTTTTTTTTAATTTACCCTTATTAAACATATAATCTTTGAATTTGGGTTTAGAAAATGAACTTTTAATATCTAATTTCCATTGCAAAAATGAAATCCAACTATTAGGAGGCAGATTTTGACTTTAAATGGATCGACAATGGCAATACTACCGGATTAACCAATCCGATCAAATTTCAAAACAATGAATAAAATATATGAATTATTTTACAGGTGATGAGAAGGAAGTCTTCAAGCCAAGTAGTTAGATTCAAAACTCGAATTAATTACCATTAAATCCTCAATAATTTTTTTAAGAATAAATTATAAATATTGAGTCAAATAATTACAAATAATAACATTTAATGTCTTATCTATTAATTTTTTTAGATTGAATGTCTTATCTACAATTGAACTTTTTAAATTTATAATTGTCTGAGTTAATAGTTTAAATTTATTTTTTTAAAATTTTTTATCAGAAACCTATTTATCATTAATTCAATCTTTTTGCCACCTAACTTTTATTTTTCCACCTAGCCTTTTTTTTTTCTTTGCCCAAAAAAAAAGGCAAAGGTTTTGAATTTTTTTTCCAATAAAAATAAAAAATAAAAGAACACTTTGCCCAGAATTTAAAAGCAGGACAAACGATATTTAATTTTTAAATAGCTGGTGCTATGAACAAAAAAAAAAAACAAACAATTCAAGGTCCATCGTCACCATCACCTATCAAATTACAAATATCTGTACACTCCACCAAGCTGCACAGTGAGCAAAGTATAAATTAGATGAATCACGGAAAAGTTATCTTATAATTAATTTTAAAAATAGTTTATATCCAGTCAACCTATCATAATAATCACAAGTTACATGATAGAATCACTGTGTGTTGGTGTGTCTCAAATTATCAAAGTCAATATATAGGAAAAACTGACAAGCACGTCCCTCATTTAGAAATTAAAGACACAAGTATCTTAAATTTGTGAAACGGTATAAGTCTGAAGGTCGTTGATTGATATATTAAAATATGTTTGATGGACAAAAGTGCCCTTGGTTAGTAACGTAACATGGATGCAAATCTAAAAAGGTAAATTGCGAATACTAAATATTTGATTTATAAATTACCCAACAATCAATTTTCATATATGATGCAAGATTAAATTGTATTAGCCGAAAATTAAATTGACATCATATCTTAAAAATAGGTTTCGAAATAATTTACAACTCATCTTACATGATTTATAACTAAATCTATTAAGAACTTACAACTCATCTTTACACCTGTCACTTTATCTATTTAAAAATATAATATATTTTTAACTGAATCTCATCATTAATAAATTAATTAACTATTTTTAAATTAACACTATCTTTTTATATTTACTTTTATTTAATAGAGTGTTTCACTTAAAAATAAATATAAATTAATTTATTTATTAAGAGCATTTAAAAAAAAAAAAAAAAGCACATTAATTACATCTTAAAACAATAAAAATGACAATTCAGCTCATTCAAAAATACCTTACACAAGCATTATTGATTGAGTAAAGGCATCTTGTTACAGACTGGCTTTGCAAATTTAGTCATTAAATAAACTTAAGACCTAGTTGCATATCATTAATTTCCAAACAAAGGACCTAGTTGCTATTTTCCCTAAAATTTATAGTAAACTTAGTCTATACAATGAATAATAACATTCTCTCTGTTTAAAAATATAAAACATTTTTTAAAGAGTTATATATTAAAAATTGTAAGAAATTTTAGTCTTTTGAGATGTAATCATTGCTCTCTCTCTTTTTTTTTTCAAAAATACTCTTATTGATGAATGACTTTATATTTATTGTAGGATATTTAACAGGGATAAATATAAAAAGATATTATTAATTTAAAAGTAAGTAACTACTTTATTTGAGAGTGATATTCAATTAAAATTCTTTACATTTTTGAACGGAAGGACTATAACTTATTTATCAAACTCTAATGTATGAGAACGTATTTAGCTGGAGATAAAAATTAGTTAGACTCAATAATAAGTCCTTTCTTTGTTGGAATGAGACACATCAAAATAATAATTAAGCAAGCCATATTTACTTTGTAATTTACTCAGTCAAAAATTACGTCTGGAATGTTTAAATTAGATGCGATGAAAAACTCTATAGTTCTGTTTTTCCTTGCGTAAGATACTACGTTTATCATTAATTCAATAATTATTACTCTAACAAGACAAAAAGATCAATTTGTGATCAAAGATAAATGGGGGAAAAACATTGGTACGAAAAACAAAATAAAGCCCTCCACAATTTCTAAAGAATGTTGAGTGAAAATCATAGCTCAAACCACCTCTTGTGGACCTTACATAACTGAAGAATAAGAACCGAGCAGTGAAAACCACTTTAGATTGATAGTTCTATTTAATCGCAACTTCCTAATTACCAAACAATGCTTGATGTTTTGCCAATGAAAAATATAATTAAATGGCAACAAATAGTTAAAGCAATTACCAGTATTGACGAGTTCGAAACCCTTGCTTGAAAACTACCAGAGGTCTGAAAAATTCAGAAGTTAACTATAAGACATTGATCCTTATAGTTATTCAGTTTTGATTCATACAAATTGCTATTGGTTTTAGGCAACATGCATTTTCCATCTTAACTAGAGCAAACTTTAATTTATATACTACATATCAAATGAAAATTCTACTCAATCTAAGTGAAGCGAATTATATGTTTGAGCCATACTTCAAATTTAAATTGGATGTTAAACATTATAAAACTCAATAAAAATGTTAATTTAAAAAAGTTATTGTTGGAAATATAAAAAAGATTAGTCAAAGCCAAGTTTAAACAGATAATAAAGACACCTGCATATAAAAAAAAAAAACAATTAAAAAATATGAACTCATATAACTGAAATGACCAATGATCATACAAAACTAAGTTATCCTTTTATTCCTTTCTTTTTTCACTTGATATGTTCAATTGTGTTAGTCCCTAATGAAATGATCCGCAATCTCAAGCTAAGGTAAATTACATGATAATCAATAAAAAAAAAATCCAGATTGTGTAAAACTTTTTTTAACTTCGAACTATCTGTAGATAATTTCCTTCCCATCAAAATTTAACGAATGAATCTTCCTAAACTTTTAATGTAGATGTAGATATTTACAATTACTTCAATATTGGAGTGAGATACATCAATGTCAAAATGCCTCTTCAATTAACTTTCATACAAATTTCCAGGCAAGATCTAAAGAGAAGTCAAATATTAAGGGGGTTATATATATATATATATATATATAACTAGACATTGCAAACTTATCATATAAAAGTCACAAGTTTTTCCTATACCTACCTCAATGTATGTGGCTGGTGTGAATATGACATGACTGTCATTCTTTTCTATAAAACTGAAGCTCTAAGTGCTACAAATATTTTGCAAAACAAAATAGTTATCAACATCTTGATAAGCAGCACAAAAGATGCAATGTTTCCCCTGTTTTGTACTCTAAAACTTCTTGTAGAGCTACTCAAAAGCTCAAATTTCGGTTCAGTACAAATGAAAGTAAACGCAGGCATTCTTTTACTTATTCCCACTCCATCCATACTTTGTAATGCCAATTGTTTTTGTCATGAGGGGATAAACTCCAAATATTCTCTAAGAATATAAGGGGCTAAAAACCAGGCCAATCATTGAATTGGTTAAGGTGTTTATTTAAGAATTAATGGTAAAAAATGCAGCTGAATCATGTTTAGATCAGTTATAAACAAAGTATTTCATTAAACTAGTCAAAGCATTGCTTCAAGGATTTATGGTTCAATTGACAGAGATCAACCCAATTTTCAATACTATACTAAAGACACCTAAATTAAAGCACCATGTATTGCCGCAAAAGTAGACTAGAATTGAATTATTTCTAAAGCGAATGAGTTTGCATCTAGTTATACTTAATCCCATCAACTTCGACCTAAGACTCAGACTTGTACCTTGTGGCCCGTCATATACGCAATTCATTCGTCAATGACTAACCCGGTATATTGTCACATGTTGACACAGTACGAATTTTTCAATAAATTTTCAAATGCCACAATCTGATATTCAATGTTTATCAAAAAATTTTGAGATTTTCCAAAGTCTTTGTTTTCAAAGATATGTCTATGTCCATACTTTGTGCAGTTTTTAATTAGGAAATTGTTCTGTTAGATCCAAAAGGAAAAGAACACTCAGCCTCACTGCAAAGCAGACTAGATTCAAATCATTTCTCATGCGAATTGACCAACTAGTGTGCATCCAGTTATTTTTATTCCAATCACATTCGATTTTCCTAATTTCAGAAATCCAGATTCGTACCTTCTGACATTAAGAGGGCCTTCGCCAGGAGAGCCGTCGCCACCTTGGATGCAAGTGGTGACGCACTTGCCTGTGCAGGATTCCGCTTTTCTGGACTTAGGTCTCTGGATTTTGGGTTTCCGGCAGTCTCCGGGCGACGGACATTCACCGGAAAGCGTCTGAGGTATGTTGGAAAGAGTCTCCGGTTGAGGCGGTTCCTGAGCACAAGCACAAGCACAAGCTATGGCAGCGGCGACGGCTGAGCTCACCATACTCACAATACTGATTCTTCTGCCGCTCACTGCCAAGACCACCTTGTTGGAGCAACTATTACATTTAACGGCAGGCATTAAAGGCAACCACACTTTTGCCCCATGGATTACCATTATCTTCTACTTGACCAGATTTAATTTAACTGTTTTGCGTATATCATCGTCTCGTCTTCCCCGTTTCAGTTCCTTATCCCCTCTCCTTCCCTCCACACCACGTGTGCCTCCAACTTTCTTCACAAATTGAGTGGCCCACGTTGCAGAGATCGCCGAATGAGATGAGACGAATTATATGTATACCTTTTTTTTCTTTAACAAAAAATATATTTAAGAGGAAATTGCCAACGAGAATCATATGATAAAGTTATCCTGAATTTTTTTTTTTTGGGGGGGGGGGGGCGCCGGGAGAATGCTACGATAGGACCACATGAGGAAGTTTATTTCAAATCAGTGTTAAATAATTCTGAAATTATATTGCAAGATTAAAGAATTAAATTAAAATTATATTTATAAATAATTAAAATGTCCTTTTTTTTTTTTTTAAATTCATCCACCATTAGAGCTTTGGCGACCAGATCACTACCGACAGAATTAATTCCTCCAAGGTAGCAAAGGGTGTTTGAATCCAAAACTACTTGGTGCACCAAAAGTATAGCAAACACTGAGTCAATGATGCTTCTTTATTATATAATGCCAAATATAACACTTTACATAACCCAAATTTTCAAACCAAGACTAAATAAACTTTGCTACCTAAACCCTACATATTCAATCCATAACTTAAATTATTATGTAAGTTATTTGTTAAAATCCTAACTTCAATTGTTAACTTACTAATATTACTCTTTAATTCAATAGCAAATCTTGTTCATAATAAACTCTACATATTTAATTATGATGACTTATTAAAATCATAATTTAAATTATTATGTGACAAATGATACTTATTAATGGACTACTAAAACTTGTTGACAATACCTTCTTTATATTTAATCTTAGTGATTTGTTGAAACCCTAACTTAATTTGTTAATTCATTAATGTTACTTGTTAATTTAAAAAGTCACCATGATTGAATATGTAGAGAATATTGTCAACAAATTTCACAAGTGAATTAACAAGTGATATTAGTGAATTAACAAGGAGCATTAATAAAATAATAAGTTAATTTAAGGTTTTAACAAATTTTCAAAATTGAATATAGAGAGGGTACTGTCAACAAGTTTTGCTATTAGATTAACAAGTGAAGTTAGAGTTTTGATAAGTTATCATAATTGAATATATATAGAGATGGTATTGTCAACAAATTTTTCTATTGAATTAATAAGTAACATCAATGAAATGACAAGTAATATTGTTTGCAAGTTTACTTAGTCTTGGTTTAGAGATTCGGGTTATATTATACATTGTATTTGGCATTATATAATTAAGAAGCATTATTTGCTTAGTGGTTATTATGTTTTTGGTGCACCAAGGGGTCTTGGATTAGATAAATCTCCAAGATTATCTGCAACTATGTACAAAGCATCTTTGGTTGCATTTGGAAAGTTAAGATCAACAAAGGCATCTAATCTTAAGATGAACCTAGAAGATCTTGCCTTAACGAGAGAAGAATGTTTAACTTTACTTAAGCAAGGCTTTATTGAGCCCACAAAATTAGATTGGGCTTATCAAGTCTTTTATAAAAGTTTGTTTGTAACTACTTTGTCAAAAGTTACTTTTGACTTTAGACAAAATAGTTTGTTTTTAGTCATATCGTTTTACTTTTACTTTATGTCACTTTGTTTTGTAACTAGGCATGTTCTTAATTATGTTGCAAATGGTCTAGCTATTGGAGTTCCAGTGACTATTTAAAAAAAAAATTGAAAGGCATTCTTGGTCATTTACCCTACAAAACATAATTTCAACATATTCTCTTGGTTTTGCAGTGTAATTTTTAAATTATTTGGGATTGATTTGAAATAAACTTCCACCTTTTTGATCCTATAGTGAGAGTCTCCTAAAAAATAATTCAAGGTCATTCAAGTAAATTAATGTCCATGATCCTTCAAATAATCTCTCATCCAACCTCATTTCACTTGAAGGAGTTTGATGTGACATGTGAGCCATTAGGGAATAGTTGTTGGGATTTAAATGCCCTAACTGAATTCAGGTAAAAATATGCCCTAACCGAGTTGGAATAATTATCTTGTTTTTCCTTGTTTATTTGACAGGTTTTGAGAAAAAATTACCATGAAATTATTGAAAAGGGGTTTTGTTTGTTAAATTATTTTGAAGAACTGTATGTGAAAATCAAGGATATTACAAAATGCACATAGATACTTATTAATTAATGAATGTCTACTTGTTGAAACAGGTCCTACACTTGTCCCTTTCTATAGCCAAGCCCTGTCAAATTTTTGAACTCGTTAATTAATGAAACAGCAAGATTTATGTATTTAGTCTTACATGCTTAATATATTTTTATCCAATCAGATAAAGACATATGAATTTTAATATGTTGATAATATTAATAATAAGAATTTGTTATAGAATAAATAATCTATAGAAGAGATACATGTCTTGATTAATTAGAAACAAGCATTTTAAATATATAAGATTAAGTACGTGAGTTTTTTTCCCTTAATGAAACACTGCTTGTTAAATGTATATGAATACTTGTTAATTAATAAATGACTACTTGTTGAAATAGTTCTATGCTTGTCCCTCCATACAACCAAACCCTGTTAGATTTTTAACTTTTTAACTAATATATGGCCACTTGTTTTTTTTAGGATAAAAGGCCACGACAAAGCCATGCAAGAAAAACAAAAGTCAGGTCATGTAAAGAACCAATAGGTTTCTACAATTAGGCAATGGATTATCAAGAATCATGATGTCTAAGTTGTCTGAAGATGGTTGACGGGCTAACAAATCAACACATCTATTGGCTTCTCTATATATATGATCAAAAGTGATCACCTAATCCTTCATAATTAGCTCTCTGATGTTCTTGATGATGTTAGAAAATGGATGTCTTTTAGAGAATTCATACTCAATGAGAGATAATGCTTCCATAGAATCTGAATAGACATTGACTTTTTGGAGTTTAGCATTCCAACAGAGTTTGAGTCCTTCTATAATTCCCATGAGCTCGACTTCCATGCTAGGATAGTATCCTAGATATTTGGTGAAGCCCTTAATCTAATTGTTCTTATCATCTCTAATTATACCTCCATAAGTGGCTACTCCTCTGACATTTACAGAGCCGTCAATATCGAGTCTAACCCATCCCGCCAGGGGGCTCCATTTGGCTTCATGTTTGGCATCACCTTGACTGATGTGGTTGATTTTAGATAGGAGCTTAACATCGTTGATTATACATTGAGTGCTGGAGAAGGCAATGTCATTATCTTGGATGTTGTCTTCAGAGTAGATTTTCCTACATCTTTTCTTCCATATGTTCTAACATGCATGAGCAAAAAGTTTTTTTCCAAGGCATTCTTCTTGTGTTTAGGCTGCCTACTTCATTCTTTGCATTCTAAATTATCTATTATTAGACATAAAAAGAAAAGAAAGTATTAAGCTTTGTAGGGTTAACTAATTTTTTCTAAACCTCTTGTGCTTCTTTGCAGTCCCGTAAGATGTGGATAGAGTTATCATAGGAGTTGCAACCAAAAGGGCATATACATTGTTGAGGAGAGTTTTCATTGTTATTCACATAGTGGGTTTGTAAGAGATCTCAAGTAGCTTTCCAAAGAAAGTACTCAATTTTTTTTTTTGTAAGTAGGCCATTTCTAAATTTTGACCAAATTTTAGAGTGTTTATAGTCCTTTTAGTTTCTTAAAGCTTTGTAAGCAGTTTTAATGGAGAAGTTACCGTTAAAGGAATGCCTCCAGTAAATAACATCAGTACCACCCTGAGGGTTTGGGGGTTGAACCAGAGCAATATGGTTAATAACATTAGAGTATAGGTAGCAGCTTAAAAGATCAAAATTCCATCCTCCAGTTAGTGCACGAAAGTTAGAGACCCTTGCATGAAGAATAGAATCAGCATTTGCGAAAGCATGCTTAACAAGGGGGTCTGGTAGAGGAGACCATTTGTCATACCAAAAAGATATATCATTTCCTTTACGAACTTTCCAGCCAACTTAAGCCATAAATTTATCCCAAACTTTATACATGCTATACCAAGTATATAAACAAGAGTTGGGTTTATAAACCATAGGGATAGTAAGCATGTCACATTTGTATTTATCCCATAAGATCCTTACCCACAAACTGTTTGGTTTATTAATAAGGTCCTAACAGAGCTTCATGATGTAGGCAATATTTTGATTTTTGAGCCTCTTGAGACTAAGACCTCCTTCTTTTTTGTCTAAAGTGATGCAATCCCTAGATCAAAAGAATCCCAAAGGAAGTTCCTTGTAATATTTTCTAATTCTACTAGAACGTTGTCAGATAAGAGCATAGTTTGCATAGCATAGTTGGGAGGAAGGGCTGAAAGAACAAAATTGAAGAGAACAATTTTCCCTGCTACGTTTAGATATTTACTTTTCCAGTTCGCTAAGCGAGAGTGTGTCTTATCAATTAAGGGTGCGAATGTAAGCTTAGAAGCCTTCTCGTGAATAAGAGGGATCTCAAGATATTTGTTAAGATTTTTAGTGATAGGAATTCCCAATTCAATACTAATTTGAGAAGCTCTATTAATATTAACATTCTTAGAGCAGAAAAGTTTAGATTTGGTAATATTAATTTTCTATCCTGAGGCATTATAGAAATCAAAAAGACATTACTGAATGATCATCGCTTGAGAAAGGGATGATTCTATAAAAAGCAATAAATCATTAGCAAAAAATAAGAGAGAAATTAGAGGCCCATTAGTTGTCAATCTAATGGGTTTTCATTCATTTTTATCAATATTATTTAGAATGCAATGACTTAAATGTTCGATACGAAGGATAAAAAGGTAGGGAGAATGTGGGTCTCCCTATCTAATACCACAAGTTGGTGTGAACTCTTTTGTAAGCTTTCCATTCTAGAGTACTCTCATTCGTGTAGTGGAAATAGCCACCCAAATCAATTTTGTAAAGTGACTATTGAGACCGATGGAATTGAGAGTATCATTAATGAAGTCCCAGGACAATCTATCAAAGGCCTTCTCAAGATATACCTTGATTACCATAAATCCTTTCTTACTAGATTTGGTTCTCATGGAGTGGATGATTTCTTGAGCAATGATAATGTCGTGACAACTC